AATTTAATGTGTTTATGTGTTTTTGGTTTATTTTTAGTTCTTTGTGCACAAGTATATACGTATAGTTTCCCTTAGCGTTTTTCTTGCAATAACTTTCCTTAATACTAATACTCTTTGTGCCTTGCGTTTTGTAGTTTTTACTGTGAAAATCCTCTTTGTGTTTCTTTGGTAGCAGCAAAATACTCTCAAGAGCTTTTTTATATCATGTAAGTACAAAAAAGCTCTCACAAGTATTTATTTCGCGCTACAGTATGTAATAAAAGTTGTGAACCTTTCTGATGAATTGAAAAACAAGAAAAAACGTTAATTTCGGTTGCACCGACCCTTCATAAATACAATGATTCCATAAAAGAACTGTGATCGGTCAGTTTGTATGGCTGCTATATGCTATAGTAGTCCGATATCGGCGAGCAGTTTCTTCTGAAGAAAAGGACTTGTGCAGCATTTCAGATATATAGCTCAAAAACTGAGGGACTAGTTTACGTATATACTGACATGCAGACACGGTTAAATCGACTCAGCACGACATGCTGAGCATTTATATATATTTTTTATAGGATGCCTAAGAAAATAAACATTAAGAAGCAATGAGGAAGTATGTAGTACCCTCAACAATTTTTTTTTTTTAAACAAATACCTAAACAGGCATGCAGAAACGCTCGAAAGTGTCGTAAGTATTGCCTAGATAGCGCGTGTACAGTTGAAATACCGATTCTTGTGTTGTTCTAGATATGAAGCAAGAATCTTGTATCGGCGAAGCATTTTGAGTCTTTCATAAAATTCAAAAGGCGGTTAACATTGTTTCACCAACTAATATTGGCATCAGGTTAGTTGGTTGGTTTATAGATGCTGAATTTTTTAACAATTTCGAACTCAAAAGTTTTCATTACAATACAGGAATCGCCTGACTATTTAATGAAGAATTCAGAGAGGTATTACATAGGTTGAATATCTAGTTCAGAAACAAAGAAAATTGGTTTTTCCAATACTAACTTTGTGGAATTATTATAGGTTATATCCAGTTTAGTTAAAAATCCATAAAATTGTCAACTTCGTAAAATTTTGCTCAAGGCAATAAAAAATTAATTTTTTATTATGTTAATTGAGTTTCATATTATGGTCTGGAATTACAGAAATTGTTATTAAATATTGTAAATTGTGACATAATTTGTTACCAAAGTGTTTCAATGTCAAAGCACACTTACTTCTCGTAGCTCTCCCGAATGAACTGCCACTGCAACTAATTAAATTTTGTTTTTTATTCTTAAGTGTTCCACTTTACAAAGCGTATGTCCCAATTATAAATACTTGACCTGATAACCTTGAGCTCCATGCTAAGGACTATTCGCAAAAGAGAGCGCAACGAGAGAGAAAGCATAACTATTGCTCATAAGAAGACAGTGAGGCCTCGTTTATATATTATGTATTTATTTACCTTACTATACCTATATATTATATATATATATATATATATGTATAAATATTATGTACATAAGCATATATGCCGAATTGTAAACAAACGAATATTTAATACTTAAACACACATAATAAATATGCCACGTACAAAACGCTAGGACATTTCGCACAATTGCCAGCTAAAAGGACAAAAGATAACATATACACACAAGAATGGTAAGAACCAAAGTAACAAAGCAAAGCAACAAGAACAACTACATACATAAACACCCATTTTAAGCATCACAAGTGGCTGCCGCTCAGCACTCTGTCCGCCCATTTTTTTTTTTTTTTTTTTAAACTACCAGCAATTACACGCACACCAACACTTGCACTCAAGTCAGTTAAGTGCACGCACACACCATAGTCCATAACCTTGTGGAAGGCCATGGAAAGCTATCAGCAGAAGGACATAAGCAAATCCGAGATGAACAAGGTGAACAAAAAATATCAAGGAAAAATGCAAACAGGTTGCAAAAGCTCTTCCTTGAAAACAAGCTACTGTAACTGCTCTCACTTATTGTTTATCGCTCTGGCACGACGCTCTTAGCCTTTGGTAAGCCATACGCATGGAGTAGTAAGCGCTATCTAAGAAACTCTGCAGGCGAATTAGGTCAATGGAGCGCCACAAGGCGCATGTATGCTTTCATCGGCTTACAAATTGTTGACATTTTTTTGATGTACGTTGTTGCTGCCGTCCATGCTGAAGCGAAGCGGTGGAATGAAATGTATACAGCATGAAATTGATACTACACACATGGAAATAGTTTTGTGGGGAATATTTAACAAATGTCTAAACAGTTAAGCTCACTACTTTATTAACTGCGAATACTTGAAGAGAATCCTAATAACTTTAACTTAAAGAAGCAATAAGAGAGCTTAGATTTAGCGCTGGGTAAATTTTAGGACTTCCAGTGGTAAATAAAATTGTATTTGTAGCAGATATTGAAAGCCACAATGAAAGTTTTTAATATTTTAATATTATTATTATTATTAATATTATTATTATTATTAATATTTTATAATTTCGCGTTCTTCAGTTTAGTTTTACTTACTCTAACGGGCTACTCTGAATAATCTACACAAAGCAATTCTAAGTGAAACATATGTACATACATATATCGGTTTATACCATACCATCTGACTAAATAGGTTCCACAAAGAGTTCTAGCATCTTCTTCTAATATCAAAAAAATAAAATAAAAATAAACTTTTACTTCGGTTACATCGAAGCTATAATAGCCTCTCATGTGCGTTTTCTTATATCATAAAACGGTATAAAACGGTTTGTATATCAGATATACCATATACTATAGTTGTCCGATCTGAACAGTTTGTATTGTAGCAATGCTTTGGATATTAATCTGTGCCAAATTTTGTAAAGAATTCTTGTCAAATAAAAACGTTGTCCATGTAAGAACTTTATTTTGATCGTTCAATTTATATGGCAACCATATGCTGTAGGGGACCGATATCGGCGGTTACAACAAATGTGCAGTTTCTTGGAAAGAAAAGGAGGAGTGCAAATTTTCAAATTAAGAACTCAAAAACCAATGGACTTCGCATATATACGGTCGAAAATATTTTTAAAGAGGTTTGCTACACGTTCACTTGTATGAATATATAAATTATATAAGATGAAAAAATTCTTACAATATACATATGAGTGTTGCTTTTTATATTTCCGGATTAGAGAGCAAAAACCAATATTAATCATTAAAAATCGCTTTATTGTTTTACAAAATATTCTCCATTACGATTTGTACCTATTTGCATGCGTTTGAACCAATTGTCGAAACATTTTTGCCACTCTGATTGAGGTATCTTCAAAACATGCGTTGTGAACGCATAAACCGCCTTTTCAGGTGTCGAAAAACGTTAACCTCTTAATTTATTATTTACGTACGGGAATAAAAAGAAATCATTCAGCGCCAACTCAGGACCATACGGTGTATGACTCATCAAATCAATATTTTGAGAGTGGTGAAGAGTGATCCGTCTCAGGCGGTTAGTTTTCCTGATTTCTTGAAAGAATCATTCATGCAATATTGAATGTAGTGGGTCCAACCACTAATACCTATAGTTGTCTCAATCTTACAGTATAGGTCACATGACGATCTTGCAATATCAGTTTGTGCACAACATCATCTACGATCTCGATTGAATTCTTTATACCATCGATAAACACTAGACCTTGTTGAAGCTTCATCGCCAAAAATTTAATTTAGTTTATCGTTGCACTTTTGCTGACTTAATCCAACTCGAGTGTTGTTAAAAAAAATCGCGCAAAAATGTTGCCGTAATACCTTCTGCTCAAATATAAACGAGACTGGCTCAAACAACAAAAACGGTTAATTATTCTTCAATATTTATGTTATCCCCTTCAAAATAGTCACCATTAGAGGCGATACACATATGCCACTTTTTTTTTCCAATCTTCCTACCACTTCTGCTAGGCCGCTTTAGGCATGGCTTTCAGTTCCTTCTTCGAATTCTCTTTTATGACTTCAATCGACTGAAAATGCTTTCCACGAAGCGGCAATTTGAGTTTAGGGAAAAGAAAAAAGTCACACGGTGCCATGTCGGGTGAATACGGTGCTTGCGGAACAATATTTACGTTGTTTTTGGTCAAATAATCGCGTACAAGACGAGACGTATGAGCTGGAGTTTGGAACAAGTCGAGCAGACACACGTCTCATGCCCAAAACATCGTGAATAATGCTATGAGCGGATCCATTTGATATGTTGAGCTCACTAGCTATCTCTCTTTCAGTCACACGACGATTTTCCAACACAATTTTCTTTACTTTTTCGACGTTTTCTTCGTTTATTGACGTTGCTGGACGACGATCATGGGGCAAGTTCTCCAGCGATGTACGGCCGTCCTTAAACGACTTATACCAATCAAAAATACGTGCACGTGATAGGCAAGACTCCCCATATGCCTTCTGCAACATTTTCATTGCGTCCGTCGCACTTATTCCATTGGAATAACAAAATTTCAAACAAACACTTTTTGCTCAACGTTAATTTCTATAGTAAAATTCATAAAACACACTCGAGGTTGACTTGTTTATAGTGCCTTAAAAAAAAAAACTATGTGACAGATCAAATTTGACATGTAAACATAAAACAGTCCTGCCAACCTAAGCAAAGAAAAGTATTGCCATATGTCATGTCCTTGTCGAGTTATGGATAAAGTCTCGTTTTGCGTTGAGCAGAAGGTATAAAAGGCAAACCTACGTACCAAAACATAAATGTTAAAGACTTATATCTTTTATATATTTTTTGTGAAAGTATGCCATTTATCATATCATATCTTATTTAAACTAATAATTTACCACATATAATATGGACATGAAAGAAAGCATGGTGTATGTATACCAGTATTGGTGCCGAAGATATTTTTGTGAAGAGCGTATAAAAGTGGAATGTGGCCAAAGCCCGGCGATCAAAGCACTTAATGGGAACTAATCAACGAAACATAGGATAGTTCCTTTGGGTATTTTGGAATTGTAAGATCACAATCCGAAAACCGTTTTTTTTTTTCAGAATGGATACGCCGACATAGTTATATTTATTTGAGATATAAATAACTGTTATTTGCGATTAAGATAACATTATTTGAAATATCTGCTATACTAAGTATTTGAAATTATTATTTTGAGGGCCTTTAGGTCCATACAACCCATTTCTAAATATTCAAATTTTGTTTTGGATGAAATTTTAACTCACGGCACACAACTATGCTGATTCTCTAATACTGCGTATGAATCAAGCAATAAAATCGGCCCCGATTTGGTAACAGATCAACAGCCACATTTAAATTAACTGTATTTATGCGGCAATAAAATCGTTTAATATCTTCTTTTTAAATTATGGCATTTTATGAATTCATGCGACGTGCGTATCCCTTTGCTACGTGCGCACACATTGTTGTTTTAGTATGTGTATATTTATGGAACTTTGAAATGTTTTATGGCGAAAGCAATCACATAACATTTGGCCAATCGAAATGACGATCCTTTGAACAGACACACACACATATATATGTACATATATTTTTATACTTGATAAGCTTGCATTTATTCACCTATCTATGCTGTCTACTTGTCCCTTTGCAGGAGAAAGACCAATATGGCAATGAGGTGCAGCGTTTGGCGCGCCCGCTGCCAGTCGAATATTTGCTAGTGGATGTGCCAGCCTCAACGCCACTCCAACCACAATTCACATTTACACAGTACAAGAAGCGCGGTGAACCATTTCCGGTGGAGAATCGTTACCTCGATGGACATTTGCAGGATTTCGGTGCGCTAAGCACGTATCTCTCCCACTGGGTGGACTCTGAATATCTCGAGTCCATTTCTGATTTCCATTTGTTGTTGTACTTATATCGAATGGACACGGTGCCGTTACGCGCACACATCGCTCCACTATTGGAGGCCGTACGCACCAAGAATTCCGATTTGGCTTACAGTTTTAAAGCCAGCGAACCATGGAAGCTCTTGGAATCGCTCATACAGGCGAGCACTGGCAGCGGCAGGTAAGTAATATGCGACTCTTGTCCAACGCAGTTCAAAGCACGTCACCGTGCTTGCGGTTCTTTTTGTACTGTTTTATTACTCTCATTGCATATTTGCTTTTTTTCTCTACTTTTTTTTTAGCATTCACTCTGCTGGCAGTACAACTGCTGCTTCTAATGCGGGCGCCGCCGCTGCTGGTGGTGGCGGTGCCGGCGGTACGCACAGCCAATGGCAATGCAATCACTGCACCTTTATTAATCCTGGCGAATTGAGCTCATGCGAGATGTGTTCGCTGCCGCGATAAACGCTTTGTCGCGCTCATCGCTTACGCCGTCATCGTTGCCGTTGCTGCGGGCGCAATACCGTATCAGTTGATTGTTCGGTTGGCAGGTTGGTTGGTTGGTTGTTTGGCGGTGCGTTCGGCTATAAGCGCAATATGTGGCTGGATGATTGATTGACAAAATTTCATCATTATTTCATTTAAATTAAATTTATAAAAAAAAGCAAAAAAAACACTATCTTAACTATTACAATTTGCAGCAAAAGAAAACAGGAAATCTTGAAGCGGACATAGATAAACTTTTATTTAAGCCCCTATAATTGTTTGTGATTTAATTCAAAATAAATTTAAATTGTTTGCCCATGAGCAGTAATACACTCTCTCACACACTGTACATATGTGCGTGTTAACCATTTCAATAGTTTTGCGTAATCAGTTGATTAGCTTGTAATTCTCCTCTTCATCCTCCAGTTTAATTTGGATACATACATACATACTCACGTGTAAACTTTGCAAACACAACTGTGGAGAATACACCTTAACAAATACATGCAAACAGCAAAAATATTAATGTCATCGTCGTCGGTATGTGTAATTATTATGGCACTCATGTTTATGGTAAAAATATAGATTCAATAAATAAATAAATTATTTATCTATTAAATAAAATTTTTATTATTCTTGAAAAGATAAATTGCAGAAGGGCTAGTAGAGTAAGTATTGACATATGCACATAGGCTATACTTTTCAGACGTGAAGAAAGTCTCTGAATAAAGTCTAAAGTTTAAAAGCAACGAAAAATTAAAAAGGGAGGTATTAAGAGATCATAGTAATCCACTTAATGGAGCAGGAAAATCGCATGTAAAATTTGTCACTATGCGAGCTAACGCCCTCATCAACAATTTCCTTCAATAAATTGATTGTTTCGTTGGTAGCGCTGTCTTTTTGGAACCAAAGGTCGGCGAAATCAACTTCCTTCAATTCAGGCACGACAAAGTCATTGATCATGGCTCTATAGCGTTCGCCGTTGACTGTAACATTATGGCCGCCTTCATTTTTGAAGAAATATGAACCAATGATCCCTCTACCCATATTTCACACACTGTTTGGTGTTTTTGAGGATGTAAAGGGATCTCAGCAATGACTTGTGGATTATCATCACTCAATATGCGACAATTTTGTTTATTAACGTATCAATTGAATCAAAAGTGAGCTTCATCGCTGAGCAAATTTTCCTTGTGAAATATTAGATCGGTGGCCATATCTTTTTGGACTCATTCACCGAACGAGCGAAGCGCTTGATGGTCGTTCGACTTCAATTTTTGCAGGAGTTTGACTTGTAAGAGCGCAAAACCTTCCACGAAGTGGATGGGCACAGCTCCAACTGTTTTGCGCGATGGCGGATGGACTCCTTCAGATCTTCTTCGATACTCTGCTCCACAGCAAGAAAAACGTCTTTGGTGTGCACTGCACGACGTCTCTTGAAGTTACAAATTATCCACTAGAATAAACGTAGTGCGAAGCAGTTGTTCGAATTACCGACTCTGTTGGGCAATTAAGTCGAACCGAACCATTATTTTGGTGATAAATTTGGACAATTTGCAATCGTAATTCCGTAATAAGTCTGTTTATGATCGTTGGACACACCATTCTGAGTAACTATAAATCAAGTTACAGCTGTCAAAAATACTAACTCCGAGAAAAGTATTACCACATTGCAAACCATCGTCTAAAAAAACACATGTTATATATTCATAATAAATATACTACTTATAAGAAGTACTACCCGCACCACGTTTGTTTATACAAGTATATACAATATATAGTACGGTATTTGGTAGGTGGGGCAATTTTTTACGAAACTGCTAGACTGTGACTTAAAATTCACACTCGACCTTCATAGGTATACCATACTCATCAGATAATAATCGAAGAAATTATATTTTCGATAATAATTTTTTAAGACACTCATATGTATAAACTTTTTCATAAAAAACTACTTTTTTTGAAAGCCGCCATATTGTCAAAAATTTAAATTTTGACTTATCCTTCGATCATTACCTGTACTCATCTATAGTAATAATATTTTATTTTTTAGATTTTTGGTTCAGCGATAATTTGAAGCAGAAAAATCTTCCACACCGCCTGGCACATGTTTCAATCCAAAATTTTTCAAAATTAATGGCCAATTAGTAACGTACATTAAATTCTGTAAATACACTTTCTTTCATTTATTTATTAAATAAAATGGCTTTTAAAAAAAAATTTACAAAATACACGCGTTTTCCTGACTTGAAAGTTGTCGAAAATATCGAATATTTTTTATTACGTTTCCCAAAGTATATCCTTTTGAAATTAATTCTTCCAAATTGCATAAAGTTCTGAGCACTAAAACCAAAGTTACCACTGTCAACAGCGCGCTCCTCTCATATGCCCTGATGTACGTACCACAACTTAAGACGCGATTATCTCAAAATGATGAAAAGTACGTGTGACACTCGGGGGCTGGTTTATGGTAACTGAAATAAGAAACATAAGTTTGAGACTAAATAATAATATCCTCTAAATATTTGGAAAATACCGCGTCAATGGTGGCCCCATATTTTGTTGTGGATACTTGTGGATCATTATTCATTTTAAATTATTCCGAAAGAAAAGTTGTCAATCGCTCTGATATTTTATCAGCGAAGTTGATGTTGAAATCGCCAGCTAATATAATATAAGTGGAAATTTATTACCATTGAGAGTCCGATTGAAATACCTAATTTCAATTATATTGTTCAAGTCAAACGAGATACTGTTTCAAAAGGTGGGGTAGCTATTTACCAAAATAATAATAATGTTATAGAAGCTATGCAATAGCTTAAAAATGTTCAAAAAACCGTGTTTTTTTTTTTTAGAAAATAAGTGTATTGAACCCATTTATATGAGTCGCTCACTAAAATTTGTCATAATAAGTGTTAGTTTTGTATGCTATTATTCTTGCTGCAGGGTTCTGTTGTAACCATTTAACACCTTGGCGGTTGAACGAAATGTCGGGAACGACACTGACGGGATCTTCAGTAAAATACCGATATGAGACTGCAACGTTGTCTTGGATAATAAATGATTCTAAATTTCATGAAGATAACATATCTCTCTAAAGGAAAAGATGTTCCATACAATCACTTTATTCCGATCGTTCAATTTTTATGGCAATAGTGATCCGATCTGAATAATTTCTTCGGAAATTGCCATTACTTTCGCTTTTTTAAGCATTTCCATCATTAAAGAATTTTATATTCGCTTTCATCAGTTTATGCAACCGTATACCGATATGTGCGGATAAGGATTTGCTTTACAAACACTTTCTATAAAATAACTGCACAGCAAAATCACTTTTAATCGCAAATTTAAGCCAAATATATACGTTACCTTTGAAAAACTGACATTTTCGAAATCAAAACGAAACTTTTTCAATATTATTATATAAAATTTGAACTGTGGATGCTTAATAAAAATTTTTATGTTAACGAAAATTCTAAGACTTTTTTCGCAACTAGGAGTACGAGTACATATACACAGACAATTGGTGATAAACAACTAAGAAAATTGTAGGTAAGTGGAAAGTAGTAGTGTTTTTCAAAAAAATTTGTTTCTCACAAATTTGTGAGAAAATATACAACTGGCAATGCTGGTTGGTAGTTTGGAAAAAGCTCAACGGCTGAAAGCTCCCAAACAAACAGCTGTTAAGTGAAAGCACATACGCACACCGCGAATTTGTGACTTCATCAAGATGGTGTGCGAACTTTGATGAGCTTATGTGTGACGTAGCAAAGTGGCTGTTCTTAGCATCAACAGTGACTGGTTGGATTCTAATCGTGTATATTATACAAATTTAATTTGTTGTTGTAAACATGTATAACAGCATGTATATCGCACGATACAACGTTGAATCAGCTAGAATATTTCAAATGTATACAAAAATTTCTATTTAGCATGTGTGTGTGTGTGTATAGGAATTGAATGAGTAGAAGTGTATGTGTAATAGCTTTACTTACAAAATCCAAGAAATGCTTTGTTTATTGTTGAGCTTTTTTACGACCGTCATTACGAGGATATTTCCTATTACCATTGTGCTACTTTTATGTTTGGCTGTCGCCTTCGCTTCACACATACATATATATATACATATGTACGTTGTACCTATATATATACATATGTACATATACTTTTTTACCGTTACTCTGTGGGTCGTTAGGCATGTGTATATACATACATAAATGTAAAAGGACATTTGAAGGTCTTTTGTGTGTACAAGCTAATCGAAAGCTAACGACTTCTAGTCTCTTGCTGGTTATACCCTGAACAGGGTATATTAAGTTTGCCAGGATTTTTGTAACACCTCAAAGGAAACGTCGGAGACACTATAAAAGATATCAATGAAATTTTGCACACGCCTTATCCTCACCAAGAAGTTTCTCATTTACCTGAACCGCCGATATTGGACAACTATAGCATATAAGTATGTACATAGCTGCCATACAAACTGACCGATCAAGCTTTAGTCCTTGTATGAAAAACTTTTTTGTTTGACTAGGTATCTTCACAAAAGTTGGCGTAGATTATTATCCAAGGCATCGCTACAATCTTCGAACATATTGTTCAGATCGGTCCCTTATAGCATATACTTATGTACATAGCTGCCATAAAAACTGAGCGATCAAAATCAGGATAAATAACTCTTTATACCCTATTATACTATAAAAAATGCACCTGTGAAGGGCATTATTGCGTTGGCGCAGCCAAATTTAACATTTTTTGTTGTTGATGTTAACGTAAATACTTGCTTACTTAATACTATACTAAGAACTAGACAACAAATATCACCAGGCATTTCTCAGCAAACACGACGTGACGTCTAATCCACTGCTTTACCCCCAAACCCCAAAACTTTGAAACCCCAAAGCGTCCAGCACTTGTTGCCAATCGAGCGCCTTATATTAGCAACAACAATTTTCTTTGCACTTAATCGGTCAGATTTCCGGAGACTTTATTTATAATACAAATATAAGTACATATATGAATGTGTTGTTGTACAATTTACGGCTATTTCTTTTGAAATTACCACTCTCGCGACGGCGTCCACTTCTCTCCTAAACTATTGCCAATGCATACGTGATCGCAAGCGCGTTGACTGCCCAAACGATGCGTTTACACACACACACACATGCATATATATGCAAATCCATACGTTGAAATACATGCTTGCATATGTATGTCATACAAAAAATTCTTGTGAATTCCGCGCGTATGCCCCCACAATTTGCGAAAGCAGTCGTACCGCTTGAAACTTTCATAGGAATTTTAGTTTGTTCAGTTCACGTGAATTACCGATTGCATGCCTGAGTACATTTTGAAAACGAGTGACCGGCAAGCTTATCATATACATATTATATGCATGTACTACATGTGTACATTTGCACTTACAAACATGTTGATTACTAAAAACAATAGTAAAGTCTATCAATGCTGTAAAAATGAAAAGTCTATGCATTTGTGTATTCGCTTGTATTGTATAAATAGAATGTAAATTGTTTACACGATTTTCCAGTATTTACAAAAATGTTGTAATTTATTTTCTTTATGTATAGATGTTTTCGTTTTTTTTTTTGCCAAAACAAATCACTTTTTTTCGCATGTTGCTGTTCTCAATATTGTTTTTATTGAGTTGTATGTTTTCGATATTTACTTCGTTGCTATTTCTGCTTGCTTCAATCTTAAACAAACAGCCATATTTGCCTCTCTACCGCAATATTAACACATCTCCAGCTTGGCTGGTTGGGCGCGCGCTTATTTGACGATGAACACAGTGGCGTGCTGTGTCAGTTGAAATTCATAAAAAGCGGCACTGTGGCCCGCCAAAGTCATAAGTTGATAAAATATGTACTAACATAACTGTCTTCGTTTCGCCAGACCTTGGAAGAGTAGCAAATCGAACATGCGGCTGGTATAAATAAAAGAGACTAGATAGAGTAGATATGCCACTTTAAGGTGCACAACTAGTGTGACAACCTAAAACAATGTGCTCTACTGCTGCAGTGATTCCGGCCTTCTCCGTGTTTGAAACCTAAAACAAATTAAAGTAAAAAGGTTGTTGTTCATACAATTGCCTACAGTTGAAAAAAGGAACAAAAATTCTCAAAATATCACCGTTTTAAAAAATTTGAATTTACCCAAAATTTTCGCAATTTTTTGATCCAATTAAAACTGGTAGATTGTTTTTGAGTATTGTATGGATCAATATGTATATACAAATCCTGTAAAAAAAATTTAATTTTAATGGGATCATTTGTCTCCGAGTAAGTGCTAAAGCAAATTTAAAAAATGTGGTTTTGAAAACGCGGTTAAAGATAACTGATGGAGCTGATTGGACTAAACCGCTAAAACTATTTGGTATATCGATTTAAAATTTTAGTATGCTATTCGCAAAGATATAAAATATCGATTAAAAAACGATTTTTTAATATTAGTTTAATTAATGACCACAAATTCTCTTGTTTAGAACTTAACTGAAAATGATTTCGAATGAAATTGTTCATACACATATGCAAATGAGTGCTGAACATGCATATAATTAGCAATAAATTTTAAGTCGCTTAAGAGATGTATTTGTTTATGAGCTGTAGAAAAAAATTTGATATGCTGAAGTTTGCTTACCTCACTTTTTATACCCTAGACAGGGTATATTTAGTTTGCCACGATGTTTGTAACAAGTAGAAGTAAACGTCTTAAATCCTATAAATCATACGTAAACTTGATATAATGAGCAGCGTAACGAGCTGAGCCTATTTAGCCATGTCCGTCTGGCTGTGCGTCTGTCTGTATATATGCGAAATAGTCCCTCAGTTTTTAAAATATATATGCTTATATCTCCAATTTTTCTCACGTCCTTTTCCCTCCAAGATACTGCTCATTTGCCCGAATCGCCGATATCGGATCACTTTAGCATATAGCTGCCATACAAAGTGAACGATCGGAATAAAGTGAATGGAAATCTTTTTTATTTGACGAGATATTTTCCCGAAATTTGGTTCGGATTGTTGTCTAAGTCAATGGTACAATACAAGAAATTCTTCAGATCGGATCACTATAGAATAAATGGAGCTGCTGACCGATTAGAAGAGTTCTTGTAAGGAAAGAAGGAATAATTAGAAATTGGTGAAGGATATTATAACTTCCGTGCAACCAAAGTTAAGGCTTTTTCTTGTTTAATATTAGAAACGAGCGCTATGATTATAAAAATAATTACGAAGATTTTTATGTTAGGTAAAACAATTAGAGAAGGCATATAACTTTATTTATATATGAATATAAAATAGAAATCATTTGGAAGTATAACTATCCTTCAGTTATCTAACGTTTACCACTTATAGTAATTCTTATTATATAAGTATTCCGTAGTATTTTTTAAACGCAATCCTACAAAAAGCTGTTACAAAAAACGAATTTCTTACCTATAAGACCGAAAAACTAATATTACAGTGCCGAACTGCCCATTACTACTCTTTGCTTTGATTGATTTAATATTCCCTTTCCTCCATTAAAGACAGAAAAATACATAAGTATGTATGTATGTATGTATGTATATTTGAATGTTATGTGATCGAACTAATTATCAAAATACTGAAAACTTGTTAATCAGAAAATATAATTACAATTATCGCTTAAATATAAATACAAAAACGCAAATCATATCATATCAAAACCTCATATATTCATAGAGTTGGTGGTGGCGTATAAGTAACTTGTAAGTACAGCACCACAAATGTGACTATTTCAACTGTATTTTGTTTATATGTATGAAGGTTTTGGCATATGTATGACAGTATTTCTTAATCAATAATAATCATAAGCGATAGCATTCAAAACGTTAATGACTGTTTTCAATTGTTTCCCTTACGCATGGGTTTCAGTATTTCATCAAATTTAATGGCAGAAAAATCGGCTATGGTGTTTTTTTAGATTTATGGTTTTCAAGAAGATATAAAACGCATATAATTTAATGTTAAGGTTAAGAATTTAGTTTTATTATTAAGAAAAGTGCCTTAACTTCACAAAAAATAGTCCAGCGGTGTTAAATCACACGATCTTGTAAGACACGACGCGTGATAATGCGTTCGCCAAAAGCTTCCTTCAATAAATTGTTTGATTTATTGACACAAAAAAGTTAATACAAAAATTATAAAAATTTGATTACCTACTTACTATTTTTTTTACCCTACGCCACTGTGTTTGTATTAAGTGCTATAAGCGAAGAAGAGAATTCCCGCCGATGACGCAGTTTTTGCGGAAAAAGAAAAAAAGCGGAGCGTTTGTCATCAATTTGTTTATGGCTTGATATACAGACGTACTTTTTTTTTAATTTTGTCATAGAAGTAGCTTTCATTATGCGCTCACTAGCTGTGCTTTCGGTGCTGCCCACATGGCATGGTGTTGTTGCTTCGCACATTTCGCATACTAATCGTTGTGTTATTGCCAGCAGTCACTGTGATAAGAAAAACACTGTTTGTTGTTGTTGTTTGTGAATATGACTATCACTGTTGGATAGAGCGCTACTCTCGCAGGCCTTTTTACATTAGTCAGCTCTTACGCTATGCGTGGAATATGTTTCAAAATAAATTTAGAATTTTATGAATGAATTCATAGTGACAAACAGACATACTTACATATGTACATACTAATTTACTATATGTATGTGTATGTACTTAATTATGAGCTCATGTTGAATATATGTTTACACATGTTTATTGATCAAGGCATGTGTGAACTTTGCATGCAATTTTTTTTTATTAATTTTTTGCTTTAATAAATTAATTAACTGCACTATTTTTGAAAAAATATTAAAATTAAAGTATCTGCCACACACTTCCGCAGTCGATGGCCGGCCAACAGCACGTTTTGTTGAGCGCTTGAACGTGTCGAAACGTACGTCCTCCCACCTTATGTAATCAGCTAACGCTAGTCAGCAGGCGGCAACTGCCAACAACAATGCTGTTAAGGTGAGGGTGCATATCAACCGCCTTCATCCCAAAAACACACAAAAAGTCCGTTCGCCATTTATGTATGTATGTGTGTGCGTGCGTGCGTGTGTGTGTGTGCCATTGTAGCGGTTAAGCATACGCCGCGTTGTCGAGGCGGCTGAAAGCGAGTTTTCCTTATTGGTTGCTGTCATTGCTGTGTTTAGTCTTCTGAAGACAGCCCAACAGCGTAATTGTGCAAAGTTTTGTGAACTACATTTACAAGCATTACTATATTAAATATTAAGCAAATAGTAATTAATTTTTTAACACTTCAAAGTCAACATTGTCACAAAAGGTGCTTAATGTTTTTAGTATTAAATTTCTTTTAGTTTCTGCGAGTTGTCAGTGCCAACAAAATGAGCGGGAAAAATTGTATTGGAATTGATTTGTGTGTGTGTGTGTACAGTGTTTTCAAAATATTCCTAAAAAACTAAATTGTGTAATTTCAAAGCCTATCCATGGCGACCTGTTGCCCCGCATAAGTTTAACGTTTTCATAAAATGTTTCGTTTTTGCTGGCATAATACAATATTATCTATATAAAGCTAGTAATTATATTATTTTACTACTATGAGCTTCGTTTGCGCCGTTAACCTTGTTTAAGGCCAGACGGAATGGGTGGAAAATAAGTGTGGAATGAGTGTAGCACTGTATGGAGACATGTTCTTCAAAACGAAAATTAAATTGTTTCTATAAAGCAGTGGTTGGAGTAATTGAGTTTTTGTGTTATTTTTAGAAAGAGTGGTGGGAAGATTTTGAAAGAAAGCAAATTTAAAGTGTATGTATCAATCAGTCATATTTGATAAATGAAATATATTTTAGAAATGTTCAATAACAAAGAGAATATTACGCATAAAAATTTACTGATATTCAGATAATAAATCTTAAATTATATATATAATGAAACAAACTCTACTCTAATGTGTGCTCTTAAGCAAAAATATAGAATATATTAATTTGAGTTTCTTAAATTAATTTAAATAATAGAAATCAATATACAAATAAATATGTAATATAAATAACTTATTTCATAACATTTTAATTTTTTGTAATTAAATCTTCTAATACTACCATTTAATAAATATTTAATATCAGTAAGGAATAATATATGAAATGGTTTTGGGTTATTGTGCAGATATGTATAAGAAATAAAATTCAATAACCAACTAGTAATTATATTTAGCTTTTTATTAACACAGTTGTTTCAAAACTTTCGCAATTTCAAAACAAAATTCATCAAGCACTTTTTCCAATCGTTCAGTTTGTATGGCAGCTATATGCTGTAGTGGACCAATATCTGCGGTTCCGATAACTGAGCGTTTTCTTGGTGAGAAAAGGCGTGTGCACGATTTCAGATCGACATCTCAAAAACTGAGAGATATATACAGACGGACCGGGCTAAATCGAGTCGACTCTCCACGCTGATTATTTACTTAATAGGGACTCCGACGTTGCCTTATGGGTATTACAAACATCGTGGAAAATTTATTATACCATGTTATGTGTATAAAAACTGTGACTACGGTCTTGATATCTACAATTACGTATACATTTTTGTGTTTCAAGCTACGAGTTAAAGCAATCCACAATGCAACATCTTCCAGCTAAGAGTTCAACTTATGATCAGCTGTTTCGCTGACGTCACTTTAGCGAATGCTAACAAAATGCATCCACGTCGGTTTTGTTTACAAAATAGGTTTGATTGATAGTTTTTATTTAGCTCTCTGGCATTCTCGTAGCTTGCTGTCTTAATATTTGTTTACTTGGAGATCTGTTTGACTTAGGTAAAGTGTAGTATACATTAAGCAAAGTATACATTTACATTTATCAGCACATCGACTTTATTCCAGATTTCAACATAACCAGATACTAATAATTAGAGATTGATTCAAATTATCCAAACTATTTCCAATATTTGAGCACTAATTGAATTTTTATCAAAGGCTTTAAATTTAGAGATGCCCCGCATAGAAACAGAAATTTAAAAATGTTTAATTTTGGCTCATTAAAGATTTGAAAACTTGATAAACAAAGTAGTAGTCGCGCACAGAGCTATATCGGCCGAGTGCCAATAAATATGATAACAAGTTTCGAAGTTGGCTAATCTATACATATAATATTATATAAACATATGTACACATCTACTAGAAAAGTTTGTAATTCAGAGCTGAAAGGCAAAACAAGGTTCAGAATGCCTTTTAAATATTTGGTATTTACTGATTAATCTAATATTTATTTGAGCATTGATATTCTTCTGAAATGCCAAAAGAGTGTTAATATTCCAGTAATCAATTTGACAAAGGATATACAAATAAATGAGACTTCATTATAGTGTGTTGACTTTACATTTGAGTGCAGATAAGGGTATCATGTTTATAAATAAATATTGTATATATGTACACCCAAACAGCTGTCGGTGTTGTCAGAGCGGACTATATTATAAATGTGAAAGGGTAAAGGAAATTGGCAAGGTGAAGCTTAAGGCAGCCATAAAAGTTGCGTGTTACTATGAAATCGTTGTATGTACATTTTTGTATGGTCACATTTTTGTATAATATATTTTCAGGCATTCTATCTTAGTGCATATTTTTTTATCCTAAAAACTGACCGAACAAAACCTAGTCCTTGTATAAAAAACTTTTTTTGTGGAAAAATTTTCTTCACGAAATTTGGCATGGACTATTATCCAAGGCAACCCTAGGTAGGTTTTACAAGGCAATACCAAAATATATTGTTCAGATCGGACCACTATACCTAGCATATAGCTGCCACACTAACGGACCAAAATCAAGATAAAGTTCTGTTTATTTCTATTCTATGCCATAAAAAATGCACCTGTGAAGGGTATTATAACTTCGACACAACCGAAGTTAACGCTTTTTTTGCTTATGTTAGATTTTTATCTATTCAAAGCGGTTAACTTTTGAACTATAATTTTACATGTTTATGCATAGACCTGATTGTATAATTCTCTAATTTTGTTATCAGTACCGTTTGGTTTATCGACTTACGCATTAAAGTGTTGCGATAATTTTACGCTTACCACTGCTTTATGTATTTAGTCTAACCGTTAATGGTTTTTGCTTTACTATTATTTTCCGCAAGAATATTTTAGTTTTAGACTCATTTGGGATTTTAACCCAGGACGCACCCAGTAGTTGTTATGGCCACAACCCTGCCACAACATTGTTGCCAGAATCCATCAGATTACTTACCTTGGAAAGACTTACATTATAAAAAGTTTTTTATAACAGTTTTTAAGTAGCTTCTTCAATTCCTTTTTTTATTAATAATCGCTTAATGGAATTGAAACCAATTTAGTGCTTACTGCGGCCATAACCAATGCTGTAAATGGGTTCTATTACCCACAATAGGCTTTAACTTACTATTTAATTCGTAAGTTGTCATCATTCCGCATCAGCCGTATGCCATAGGTGTTGGAACGTTACAAATAGTTAGTTTACCATATGCCATGTCTATATGCAATTATATGCACATAAAATATACCAGCTTGTAGTATGTAGAAACAAAATTTATTTCCTTTATTTGCATCTATATACAAATGTGAAAATGTTCATTGATATATTATATATATATATATATAATTGCAAAATCATCCTTATTCTACTTATCCTCGAATACTTCAGGGCAATACATATTGAATGTTTAGGTTAAATTATTGCTAAGTAAACAGTCTTCAAGTAACGTTTTAAAGTTTTAAGTTGACTTATACTAGTCTTGGAATTAGTAAAAATTTACTCTATAATATTCAAAAAATGTCACTTCCATAGTTAGTTTAGGTAATCAAGCTGATATTCGTGATCACACTTGGAGCAAAAAGACCATCGCATATCGCCAAAGCGCTTCGACCCCAACCAAATCGCCTGCTTCGTAGAAGATGTTACTACCCACAATAGAAAACTTGATAGAGTATTTACTTTTGGCCCTACGATTTTGATACATTCCATGCAGTAAAAAATAATATATGTATAACAATTCTAGTCTGAGATCGACCTAGTCAAAAAAACATTAAAAACTGTTTTTGTTTTTGTTTTTTAAAGTTGGTTCGGCAAAACAGTTCACTTTAGTAAAAACGCGAAAAAGGACCCGGACAACACCGAACTTAATACTGATACTGAGGATATATCTCTCTATTATATATAAAAGTTTTCTGCTGCTGTCGAGAATCAACTAACATAAGAGCGAGCTAGCTCGCGCTCGGCGGGGAGCGGACGTAGGCGAGCGAGCGAAGCGAGCGTCCCGGAGCGCAGCGGAGGGCGCCTAGTATTATATATAAAAAGTTAATGTGGAACCGGAAGACTCATAGGCCAATTGTTATCTGAGCTAGTTCAAAGGATATTTATTTAATAGCATACAAATATAAATACACTAATCACTAATCGTAAGAAATAATATATAGAGTTTAACCTTCCTGAAAAATGTCTGACATTATAGAGATACGCTGGCATTGCTCCACTCTTTCTCTTTTTTGTAGAGAATTAATTATCAACAGACAACATTAATCCATGAATATATTTGTATACCTATACTTTCGTATACTTTACTTTTCTGACTTTTTACGAAATGCATGTATGTTATGGTATGATCTAGGCTAAGAATACCTAGCTTAACACATGCGTACACACTATCTATCAATAAAATTTTAATTGTGCTTTCATAAGTTGTCAGGTATAAAATGTTTTCAAAATTTTGGTCAAAACATTCACAATTCTTTGTGGTCTTAAAATACTTCAGCTTTAGTATATATGTATATGTGTACGTAGTATATAAACAGCACATTTATTGATTTGTTTCGTGTTATACACAAAAATACAAATAGTATACAATTAACAGTTAATCCATCTAGAACAATGCAAATTTATTATGCTCATAAGAGGCAAATTTCTTTGAAGTTACAAAGTGGGAAATAACAAATAAGCTCCAAGAGGATTTAAAAACACTCGCCTATCTCGACTCCAGCCTCATCTATCGTAGCAGTATTAATGCACATTGGAAATAGCTGTAAATCCAATTGATGAATGTCTCTAAGCATCATGTCATGTTTTCATAAATCACACGTCGGCTGAAAATGCCATAATTCTCCACAACACTTTGTTCAATTAACGAACTGTTGTTGAGAAATGAAATAAAACTACTCATTTTTATATTCCACCATTTGTTATAACCTGAACGGCTGTTTCAATTTAACCATGTCCGTTAGTCTGTCTCCGGTTTTGTCTGTATAGCCTCAGGTTTTGAGATATCGCTCTGAAACTTTGCATACGAACTTTTCTCCACAAGAAGCTGCTCATTGGCTGGAACCGCCGATATTGGACTACTCATATAGCATGTATCTATCATTTTTGTATGGAAAACTCTTTTATTTGACGAGATACCTTCACGAAAATTGGCACGGATTATTATCTAAGGCCACAAGAAATCTCCGAAAGAAATTGTTTAGATTGGATCACTATATCATATAGCTGTCATACAAACTGATCGATCCAAATCAAGTTCTTCCAAGAGAACTTCAACCTATGAAGGGTATTATAGCTTCGGCTTTCTTGATATTAGTGCTTAATTTTCAAAGAAATTCCCGAGCATAATGTAAACTTGTATTTCGCATTACCACAAGCCAACTCTCTATGCGTTTAATGAACAATTTTTAACTTTATTAGAATAATGTTCACTTAACACATACAAAAGTTTTAATATATCCAATTATTTAGAATTTTCTTATTAATGGAACAGAGAATATGAAAAAGCAACAAAGTGAAATAAACACAACCGCTCGAAGGGCATTGGGTGCTACTATAATATATTTGAGTTGGCGTGAGTTCACTCATAAATTGCATTTATGGCAATTAAGCCATCATAACGTTATCATTATCGGAAAATCAATATAGCTTTATTAATATGTGAATAAAAACAACTAAAGTGGCTATAATTAGCTGCAGACTAAGCGCAAAAACAAAATAAGTAAATCATACTTGTATATGGTATATGGTTATTTATGCATGATCATTTCTTTGGAAACAAAAATATTAAATAGTTGAACAAATAGTGATGTCATTCAACGGATATTAGCTGCTGTTAAGCGTCAAGTGAATTTTATAAAGTGATAAGCAAATTGATTTTACTTGTTCAACTCATTAGCTGAAACTAGCAATCAAGGTTAGAGGATATGCCCTTCCAGAAACTACAGAAATAACCAAATTTTACTAATTTCAAAACAGGAACATTAAAGTTTTTTTCCACGCTTATATTAGCTTTGGTTGTATGTATGTATGTAATGGAATCAATTTTCACTGGTTTCCACAAGTCTGATCAGCTTGAAACTTTGCACAGACTTGGTCAAGGACCGATTACAATGCAATAATTTGAAAACAGTTTTCCATTATTTATTAACAGAAACATGTTTTTCTCTCAGTAACGAATTGCGTCCGACTAAAATGAATTGGTGCTTGATCTTTTGCTGTTATACCTTTACTCTGTCTTTTGCTTTATCTGTTTTTTCAACTAGAAATCCCTATACCCTACACTGTAGAAATCGGTAGACAATTGTTTCAAACATGACTCTCTTTACCATACTTCATATTTTTTTTCGGGGTTTAACTTCTACAGTTCCTAATAATATGTTTCAATGCGCTTCAATATAAAGGTATGTATGTCGCATAAGTAAGTATAGTTATTGAGAAGTAGAAGAATCTCATTTAAATTTATAAATATTAAGAAAATATACTACTGCACATATTTTTTGTAAAGGTTGGTTTCATATAAAATATAATTTTGAAATGTTTCAGGTATTTAATGAGTACCTTTTTTGAAAACATTCATTTATATTTTTTTAACCTATTACAAGACAAAAGTGGCAAACCTAAGGTGAAATTTCGAATTCTCTTTATAAACACCCTCCAGTTTCTTATGTATGAAATATATAATATAATTTGGTTCAAAAATCATCTAATTTTTTAGCAAACTTCGAAATCCTGTTTCAAAGTCTGATTAACAACTTTATTTATTTATGATTTATTTTGAGTAACGGTGGAAACAGCACTCACTACAGCGGTGGACGACTTTCTTTTATAATTTGTAAAGTAGCGTGCAACTCCCCCAATTTTTTCTTGTATACCATATATGTATACCATATATTGACTATGTATACGGATTGGTTAAAAAATTTCTGCGCTCGAAATTAAAAAATTACGTTTTTGGTACGAAATATATTTTTTTATTCATTATAATCTCTAGCCATTCCAAAGAACTGATGTCATAACCGTCTTTGCTGAACGTTGTGACTTCACCTGCTTTGGAGCTGAACAACCAGTTTCAGTCCACTGTAAACGTTCTTGTTTCAATTTAGAATCATGGTGGTAGATCCAAGTCTCATCCATAGTTACAAAAGGATGCAAGAAATCGGTTTTATTCTGCTTAAAACGCTCCAAATTATGCAGAGAAATTTGTTTTCGATCCCGGTTTTTGTCGAATTGTTAACGTGTGCGGCACTAACTTTCCCAACAGCTTTTTCATATGTAATTCTATTATATTTATATTGATAATCTCATATTTTTATTTCAGATTTAAACATGTCTTACCGTCCACTCTTTAACAAATTGATGTCCAAAGCCATGCTGCGCCAGTTGATAGTGCGACCGAACCCGGTATGTAAAAATATATGTACTCATTGTGAAAAAAAATTAAACATAAAAAAACATGTTCCAGATGGTAATGCGCACACAGTTACAACACAGCCTCAGTAAGTATTCTAAGACATAGGTTTTAAATATAAATAATTACAACAAAAAAAATATTAAATTTTGCAGAACCCAGAACCCCTCTGAATAAACCATCGATGTTCAGTCCGACGATTATTAAGCGTTACTGGGAGGTAAGTTTTGTAATATACTCGTTAATAAGCAAAAGAACAAATAATTACGGCGGCTTTTAAGTGTTTAGTCATAAAAAATTTACGAAACTTATTAACATTAATGGCATATTATGAGGGTAATAAGAAAGCCAGATTAACAGTTGTTTTATAATTTTAAAAAATTTATTAGAAATGAGAAATACTAATAGACTTATACCACACAACGAATTGTGAAGACAGGGTGCGTCACTTGGAAAGCAAAAATATGTACATACTAATGTATTTATTGATATTCACAGTATGATGTATATGTATGTAACTTAGTTGTTACAAGTGCATAATTTTATTATTAACAGACGTTAAGTTAATAATTTATGACTAAAAGGTAATCACGCAAATGAGCTGTTCGTTGTTATTGAAATATTTTTTCTGAATTTATTAGTAATTTCGTATTACATACTTTGAAAAATACAGTGCAAAATAGTGTTACAGACCTGAAACCTTTACTTGATCATTTTCATTCTGCATAGTAAAGCGTTCCTAAGCGTACCTAAATCCTCAAACTCATGCTTCAATAACATATTTGACCTAATTGGAACTTTGCACAGAATACTAAACCTTTCTATATATGTATTTTACATTCTAAACATTAATATTAAATATTTTAGAATTTTTAAAATATACATATATCAAAGAATATTGTCATTATATCAAAATAAGACAGAACTCTCGAACCACACATTTCAGAAGAATATGTATACAACTTACACTAGCTGTCTACGATTCGCCATTTCTCTGCTCGATTTTCAAAAAATTACATGTAGAAGCAACAACAAAGTTATCGAATTGAATTCGTAAAAGAGAGTATGCGGATATCTCATTAAAGTGGTATAGCCGCTGTCTTTAATGCTGCCAAGTTTTTTTTTTGCATATTTAAGATCAGTTTTACTATTTTGAATCGTTCAAATGAAAATACAATTTTTTTCTTGGCTTAAAATCAATTTTAGTAATTTATAGAAAACAAATATAAAGTATTACAGCAACATTTTTTAAACTTCTCCACTAAGAAAGAATCAAACCACTATAGCGCATGTGTCAGAAGACATGTATATATAGCGCAGGGTGGCAGCTCAAGTGCTGCCCATTTGTTTGAGCATGTATGTAGTATAGTTTGTTCGATTCGCTAGAGAGTAAGACTTGAATCGTAGTAAAGAAGACATATTGTAGTAAATATGCATATATTTGTTTGAATCTCTAAGCTCCCTCTATATCTACGTCTCCATTGCGCTCTCTGGATACTTAGCAAGTGACATATGTTTTCGCTTAATTGAAATAAATATGATCATTTGATATGGTACCTACTGGTATCTACGAATACCTTAGGCACTACATTATTTATATTCAGTTTCAAGGAGTACCCACATGTTTCGTATGGGTACGAAAATACTATTAATAATAAGGTACAAGATCATCTTCAACCAATTTTTTTTTTTACTTACCTTGTAATTTTTGTCAAGTAAGTATGTTTCAGCATTTCATAAGATACAAATTTTTTTAAAGACGAAAAACGATGTTTATCTGTGCTTCAAAATAGACATAAATTAAAAATAATACTTGTTAGGATTTATGATGGTTTTGAAGTTATAACGACGAACCAAAAGTGTTTAGATCTAGAAAAGTTAATTATACTAGGCAAACGTTAGAGTTTCGCTTATAAACTCCATAAAGAAGCTTGAACCATTGTAAGAACTGTCCCTGTTCATTTGTGGTTGCCTGACATGATAGATGTTTAGAAATTTATCGAGCGTTACATGTATGTATATCGGGTGAAATGTAAAAAAAACTTGAAAAAAGTTTTGGAAAATTAAAAAATATTTAATTTTAATGAACCTCAGGAAGAACTTTTTAGAGAAATATATTTTTTATTTTTCTCTCTCATTAGGATCTAAAAACATATATGTATGTATATTCTGGTCATAAATAACACATACTTCTTGTTAGTATTTACAAGGGTTTTGAAGTTACAACGACGAACCAGAAAGTTTAGACCTAATATGACAGTTTCGTTTGCAAAAGCCATAAATAAACTGGGGTCCTTGTAAGCTCTGGCCTTATTTATTTCTGGTCGCCGCTAATGATGGATTTTTAGAGATTTAGCAAATGTTATAAAAAAGTAAATTTCATCAAAGACTTTTTAAAAAATTATTATTATTTATTTCTCCGTCGTCAGGATCAAAAACCATATGCATTCTCAAAGAGATTGCATGTAATATAAAAAATAAAAAATCTAAACTAAAATTCCGAAAGATGTTTAGATGATTTTCTTCTTATTTACATTTGCAGTTATATAGTATAAAAGTACGAATACTGTTTCTTTTAGCTACTAAACATATAGAGGTTGAGAAAAATCTAATAAAAATATGTATCTATAAAGCTTTGTGCTAGCTACTAAAATTTTACTAAGCATTAAATAAAAATGCATCTATTCACTACGGAAGCTAAGAGCAATTAAAGTAATTTTTGTTATAAAAAAATTAAAAATATTAATAAAATTAAAACTAAAATCGTTAATATATTATTATTACTTGATGAAGCAAACTACCGCAAATAAATAAAATGCATGTTGTTGATAACACAATATACATATATATTTATTTAATTAGATATTTAGTTAGAATTCTTAATGATTTTATCATTACATTACATGATTGTTTAATGAATACAAAGCGCTTTCTCAATAGATTCTAGTTTATTTGGAGAGAAGTGCACTACTCTTATAACATACATATGTATGTATTCATGTGTGAAAGTATATACCTATATGTGTATCTATATACATACATATGTATATAACTATATATACTATATGTATTTAGATACAATTAGTTGTATATAATATTGTATGTATGTATGTATATTATATATAGCACTTATAATTAAATTAGAAGGTTGCCACCTGTTCAATAAAACAAAATTTGTTAGTTAAAAAATTTTAAAATAATTAAACAGAAGTCAAACTAAAAATATCAGTTAAAAATACTTTTGACAAGGTTGCCACTTGTTTGAAAATGAGAAAAAAAAATGTTGTTGGTTTATTTTTTTTTTTAAATAACTCAAATTGGAAATGTTAGTTAAAAATATTTTAGTGAAGGTTGCCACCTATATTTATAACAATCTATAAAGGACACGAAATTTATTAATACAGTCAAACCTGAGTAAGAGAGAACTGGGTAAACTCTATAAAACTGGCGATAAAACTCTATAAGTGTGAATAATTCTCAGGTTCCGAAATCTCTATGAGTGAGCAAGAAAAACCTCCACAAGTGACAGTCTTTTTTCTTACTCTGGCCTCTATAACTGAGAGCCTCTTTTGTATTTACCTCTATAAGCGACAATTTTCCTATGTTGGACTCATTCTTTTTTTCTGGAATCAGGAACTATGTTGTTTTTTTGTAATTCAAGGAAATAATATTTAACTGTATTAACTTAGTTGTCATACTCCCTCAAGTTCATAAATGTCATTTGCAACGAACAGTAAAGATATGATATGATGATATAAAAAATAATGTTTAAACGTAAAATCAACGTGTTTTCGTTTTAGTGAGAAACCTTTATAAGCGAGAAAAAAAGCATGGTATTTTGAACTCTCTCTTAACCAGGTGCTGGCTGTCAGAATTTCTAGAGAAATAAATCAATACTAATAACGATCCCTTTTCGAATATACACATACTATATACATTTATATATACATATGTATATGTATATGTATATGCAGTAATTAACTTACAAATGTTTATGTATTCATCTATATTTCCCTACTCTTCTTAATTAACTTGTTTAATGGGTTATTAGTCGAGAGTTTCCTAAGACTTCTCTTTTTACGCATTTTAGACACACAGCAATTCCAGCAATTAAGTGCCTTCCTATGACTTCTTTAATTTTTTTCTTTACTACTTGCAGACAAGTAAATATTTGAGGCGTAGAAATTTATAGAAATACAAATAGATACACCTTTATATTTTTTTATTGATTGTATACATCTATATTGTAAACTGCTGACACTGACATTTTATAGCTTTCATTAAAGAAACCAATTTTTAAATAAGAAATCGTTAGGAGCCTTTTTACTTATTTTTATATAGTCAAATGTCTTTTTTTTATTATCTACAAGATGTTACTTGTTTTGTTTTAATATTCATTGATAAGCTAAATATATGTTATATGGTATGTATTTATGTATCAATTTTAATTTTTTTTTTAAGTAATTTGCTCTGAGTACCTCTTATAATCAGTTTTTTTCATTCAAATATTTTTGTTCCTCAACGAATATTGTCTGGAGTCTTTAGTTTATTAGTTTTGCTAAATTGTATACTGTTGTTATTTTTTCATCACATGTTACTTTTACTGTCGTGGCTTTGGGTTATTATCTTTTCTTACAAAGTTTTCATAATTTTGAATGGGATTTTTTTAACACTTTTATTTCCATATATTTTTCCGATTCTATATGCATATATTGAGATATTTCAGAAGTTTAGTTTAGATTATTAAGCCAAGTAGTTGCTCAAATACCCTATACCTACTGAAAAAAGAATTTTTTTAAGAACTATTAGCGAATAGTCAAATATCTACAATTTTCTTACACTGAGTAGATATTATTTCTAGATATGTAAGAAATATTCTTATTAACATTTTTATAATATGGAAAAAGAAAAACTCTTAAGGCCTTACTTTCTGAAATGTTTCATACAGAATAATGTCCTGACATACATACGTATCAAGTTATACTCTTTATCTGCTGCGCTATTTATTAGAGTCACATTTAAATGGACCTCTGTTAAAGGTTAATTCATATTAAGCATTAGTTGGCATCCAGTAGCTGAGTCGAGCCGTTTTGGCTTTTAAGAACAATGCCACATTCTCGATGCCTCTAGCATGAGTGCAAAGCTTGTCAGTGTTCACTGTGCAGCACTTAGCTATTTTCGATTCGCCATTTTTCTGTTTGCTTCTGCTCTCTTTTCAAG